GGGTCAGAATACAAAACCTCTCATACTTACAGAACGGGACACTTGCTCCAACTTCCACCAAGTTCATCAAACGTACAGCCACAGCTCCCAGCATATGGCGGCTATGGAAATGGTAAACACAATCAGAGACCAACGAATTTCCCAGCCAACTTACCGTGTTCGGCCGGTAAGCCGCTTTTTGGTGTTATTCTTTCTCTTGATGAGATTTGAAACCAAGCAAATGCGATTTATTCTGCGCATTGATTTTGATAACGCATTAACATTATTTAAATTCCGTGTTTGCAAATAATTTTGGCTATTCAAAAACTGTGACCTTGAATTATTAAGCTATAGCACTAATCAGGTGAAACTCTTGCTGCTGTTTCTACTTTGCTGTACACGTAAATTTGATGTAGCATTCTAATACTAAAATTCTGATCTACAATTAACCTTGGTTTTACTGCAACAATGAAATTCCGTTTGGCGTTCTGCTATCCAACGTAGGAATTTAAATCCTTCATTCAAAGGACATTGAGAATAATGTCAAAGGCAAGAAAGATGCAGATTTGTGCCTGGCGTCAAATTACTTTTTCGTACCGCATGAAACGGCTATATCGCGGCTTGTTGCGTTGTTGAAAGATGAACAGACATGACGACTCGTGGAAACTTGAAGATGGAATCACTCAAGGGCATGGAACCTGCTAATCTTACTGCTTCGTCATCATCAACCTTAGAAGCCTTGTAGAAACTGAAGGACTCTTTGGAGGTGAGATGATCGACGATCTCCAGATTTTGCGTTTGACATTAGGAGGTGTGTTCTGCGTCGATGAAAGAAAGACTCTGACAACAATGGTCTATCATATATCCGCGCTACAGACATGTCTACGTTCCGTCAGTTGCTCCACCGTTTACCAAACAACTTCATGATTGGGCCGTTTCTGCGTGTTGCTGAAGGGAGCCAGTTTGCAACTTGGGATGTGCACTTGTTGTCCCTCGGAAGAGCCATATGGACTTGCAGGCGTCAGTTAGCAAATGTAATAAACTTGTCCGACACTAAACAATCACACTTGAAACGTGGTCTCGAACAGAGACCTTGCATGTTCTTCTTTCCATCGCCCTTTGCGTTACAACTACTTACTTTTCCTCAGCCTTGGTGGTAGACAAGCATCGCACGCCATAAGTCATGGCAGATAGGACTGCGGAGTCGAACAGTGTTTCTTCTTTGACATCGGCGGTTCGTTTTGATGTGATTCATGCTCACGAAAGCCGCTTTGCTTCTTCTGCTGATCTTGCCGTTGATGCTTTTATTGGAATGCGTTAGGTGGCCGAAATATGCATAGTTAGCGACTTTTTCAACGAAAATATGTGAGGACGGTGCTCGTTGTACACTCGTTTTGTTCTGGAGATGTTCATCTCCAAATCGATAACACGTGACTCGCCTTACAACTGTACAACCATTTATTGGAGTTCCGCCGGATCGCTGGCGAAGGGAATGACGTCTTCTGCAAACATCAGATGAATGATCCACATCAGAGGGTTAAAGAGGGATGCTAGCGCCGTCGAGAAGAACTTAAGAGGGAGATGGTATCTTCTTGTCGTACTCTTCTTTTGATGTTGATTAGACACGGTTAATCGAGCAGTTTGATGTCGGTTGCGGAATCGGCATTTACTTCCTCAATCCGGCTGACATATGCAAGGTTGATACTGCAGTCGTGCCAGCTCTGGACTGGAGTTGAACGCCTTTCTGAAATAGAAGAATGCGTAGCAGATGAGAATTCGTATTCCTTGCACTTTTCTGCTAGCTGTTTCATGGCATGAATATGGTCTGCAGTGGAAAACCCTGTTCGAAATTCGTCTTGTGCTTTGCTGGAGAGCAGTTCGAGGTCTATCCGGATAAGATTGAGGATAACTGAGGAAAATGCCTTGTAGACTAATGACAGGAGAACGGGTGGACGGTTCTGGAGATCTTCACCTTCGCCCTTCTTGAATAGAGGAATTGACCAACAGATATTCCATTTTTCTGGCGTTCTAGTTTACAAATCGTTTGTCAAGGGCTTTGAAAAGGACAGTTCCCCGTGACCTTGACTGCTCACTTTACTACGACCCAGCGTCCCAGCTAAGCGGTTTCCCGGGGAACCGTTTGGCAGCTTCAGGCTCGACCTCCGAGGAGTACAGGTTGTTGTAAACTTCGCTCAAATCGCCTTCATACAACAGCGACCTCTGATTCATGTTCCCCTTTCGTCCTTTATAGCTACGAGAATCTGCTATTTTAGGAGGATGCCCTTTTCCGCTACCTTCAAGGTATCTTTCTTCAATGCAATATCTCTCACCTTCATCACCTGTACTCACCATAGTCCTCTCGAATCTTCTTCTGTAAATTTTCACGCAACGCAAAGTACTCGTCGTCCAATCATCAGCCATCATTCTGGCTCCTTTGGTCAGCAGCCGTCTCGTCACATGGCTGGTGTGTTGTTTCCCTGTCTACATTGCCTACATTGGATGAACAGGTGGTAGTTTTGATAGTACCATTGAGGTACTGTTACTCTGCGTTGATGCCTCTGCGGATGCTCTTTGCGAAATTCAACTGAGGAGGATTGCCTGGGCTATAGATTCGTCAAATTGCCAGTGGTCTTTAAGCCTTTCTAGCCCTATTTTCTCTAGCGATTTCGATTGTGACCGTTGAGCGCAGTAATCGTTGGCCTTGCCCCTCCCCCCTGCGGTCGTTGTCTTCTCCAGTGATGTTAGTCCCACTGGAGCAAGCTGTCAATTTTGTTATGGGGGGGGGAGTTCAATTAGCGCTCCTCCGCGGGTACTGTGATTCTCTGCTTTTTCAGACATGGTATTCATGGTGTTGAGGCGCTTACCCTTGGCAAAATGCTGCGAAGTGGAAGTCGACTTCGTTTCGCTCTCCACTTTCAAGCCGGCCGATGAAATGCTCTGTCTCGGCTGTTTCTGTAGTGTTGAGATCTCCTTGAACTATTGTGTATGGAGATGCCTTTTACACCTGCTTTCCAGTTCCTCTCACAACTGCTTTACTGCTTCATTGTCCGCTTGCGGTGTTGGACTGTAAACTTCGATCACCTTTAATGATCTTCTCATGTCCACCAGCAAAATTAGTACGCCTACGGGAGGTGAAATGAGGTCGCAGCTGACTGCAAGCTATGCAGTGCACCTCTTCACGATTAACCTCACACCTCATGTCCGAGCTCGGTTTTTCATCGCTTTCCGTAGGCATATTTGATAACTATTGTTCCATTGTGTGATATGCTTAGCGGATCTTTGGGTCTTCGGCTTTCGCACTCGCCAGCACATTTGCCTTGATTTTCTTCACATCAGTGATGTAGATGTCTACAAACGCGCCTAACAACATACTTCTAGTGTTGTGGCGAGTAACGAAGATCTTGAAAATATCCTTTTGTAGTTTACCAGTCGCGTCCTGACCACCAGAGGTCGTAAGTAATTCCAGTTTTGGGCAAGCCGACACGGGAGCCTGCACTCATGGTCCGGGATGCTTTCTTGCGTAACACGGTTTTTGCGAATTTCGTAGACAGTTCACCGAGAGTGACAAACTCCATGAACAACCGCCCTTCTTCCACACTTTCCTTCAGTCAGCCAATCGCGTTTCAGCAGGGAGTTCTTGGTCGCGAAAAGATCCACTTTCCGATGTCGGTCCTCGCCTCGTTGTGTCAACCCACTCGCCAGCGAGAACCCTCTGTAGCATATCCACAGGCTCACCAAGCAGAACAACAAACAAAGTCGACTCACTGAAGCATAAATATTATATTTTATTCACGGAGTAGATGGGATGGTGCAGAAACGTTCATCCTGCTTTCTTCCAGCTAAACATAGATGCCTGTTTTCGAGTCTTTTCGTTACGATCACTCTTTTGGGCTATATAGTAGGATCGGTTATTCGGTGTCGTTATAATACAGTGATCAGAATATTTAACTGAGTTTATCGACTGGCTACAACCAAGACGTTTAACGCTGTAGGGCTACTGCCAGCGAATGGACGATGTCCATTCTGAGAAGCAGACACTGACCTGATGGCAGACGGCTGCTAGTAAGACCTCCAACAAGGTGGGAAGATTTCGTTGGAAGAGACATGGTGTTGAAAAAAGGGTTCGTCACTTACTTACTCCGTACAGGTGGATGCTTGTACGGATCCAGGGTTCGTCTTCGACACAATGAGATAAGAAAGAAGAAAATGATGAATCTTTAAATTGGAGTTCATACTGTGTGCATCCTTTTTTCAGCCCAATACTCTTAACTTCACCACTAGCTTTTTCGGTTGCCGTAGCATCTAAGGACTAAACGTAGATTGCATATCTTGATCACTGCCTGTTTCTTGCGATGTGAACAACAAGCAACGCTTAACGAAGCTTCTCACTCTCATGGTTTACATCCAGTTCGCATCTCGTCAGGATTATGAATAATAATTAGCATTGAGTTGTTTGAAATATTGCTATGATAGATGACAATGAAGGACTTCGATAAACAATAATTTCTACAAATAATTGTAAGAACACGCGGAGACTCTAGTAATTAAAGAAGTTGTTAAGAGAAGTAAAACTTTAGAAAGGAAATTATTCCTCATGACCAAGTCGCTGGTGTTGAGTTTGCGCTGGCGGCGTAGAAGACGATGATACGGCATTTATGTTTTACCGTCGCAGCAATCTAGATTTATGAGTCTATAGGTTGGTTGTCTTTAGAGCCAATTAAGTGCTGCAGGCGTCTTGTAGTGGAACTTGTAGTGGAACATCTCTTTGAAACCACTAACGGACTGCGGCATTTACCACGATGCCGGCGATTCCAATGAAAAATCAAATTCACCGGTTCATTCAGGATGGATTTATAAATGTAAATGATGTGGACTGATCAAGCACAGCTGTGTCATTCAAAAACCTTACTTTTATATGCGATGAGAGTAACATAGAGATATGCTTTAATCATGACTATCAAAATGCAGCAAAGAAATTATACGATCTGTGGTGCAAAGACGTGTCTTTAATAAACGGTTAGGTGCGAATAAGGCCGTTACATAACCATGTTATAGATTCTCGCTGCTATGGTGTTTCAGCGGGATGCACCCTCAGAAACGCTGCTCCTTTCGCTAGACAAACTCCAACCAGCTGTGAGGCATGTCTTCAGTTATGCCAGTCTCAGCGGAAGAGTACTTATCCATACATTTGCAAGTCAGTCATCTACGACACCCAAGCGAAATCCTGTGATCTGTATGCGGTAGACCATCAATCAACCAACGCACAGCTGATTAAATACCCTTCAAGGAGCTATTTCAGGTACCTTTTGAAACTCAAAACTCTGACTGATTTTCTGTGATTTTCAGACCCACTGGTCAGTGTGACACTGGTGGATATGCACCGGGCGCACCTGTTGCCCCTGGTGTGCCTAGTGCGCCTGGTGCGCCTGCCGCTCCTAAATATTGCCCTGCTGGCCAAATGTCAAAGTTGATAGAAATGCACGGTTACGTGTGGCCTTCCTACAGCGGAAGAAGCCTCCAGGGGTACTCGTTGGAGGAGTGTACTCAAGCATGCGTATCAAATAGGGTATGGTGTATATGATTACGTAAGTCTAGAATGAGTACAAATCAGTTATGATGACTTTCCTTCTCAAAATGAAGCGTTTGGTTTGCAGATTCACATCTTGTCAAAAAGACAGCCATTTTAATGAGGTTTTTCAGGAAAAATCTGGCCGGCCTCTAAGACAACCGTGCAAAGCAGCTAGATTTTCAGGTGGCACTTGCGAAGTTTCCTCCGTCACGGTTCCTCCTATGGATTCGTTCTTGCCCGATCCGTCAGCAGCAGTCTTCATCGCCCGATGCATGCCTGGTAAGCAGATATGATGTTGTTATTACTTTAATCGAAAGGCGTTTAGAAAAGATTGCCCGAGGGTGTCCAGGGAACTTTGAGTTGGCACCTATGCATGTATTGATTGGATACGCGGAAGCAGTGGTTACCGCCGATTTGGAAGGTTGCGTGAAGCTGTGCATCAACGAGCGCCGATTCAAATGCAAGTCAGGAATGGTGTACACTAAAGTGGGTAGAGTTCAATTTTTTAACTGTTATCATCAAATGCTGGTCATCTTGTGCAGTTTTCCTAAGAACGTCTGCTTTATGAAAATGATGACGAAATCATATGACTGTGAGGTTGATTTAGAAAGCCGCGTTTACCTCGTATGCCTCTGAATTTTCCTGGCGTTGGAGACGAAGACTGTAATACCCTACTTATGAACTAATTAGGACTAGCAATTTCTTTCCCGGCTGATTTTAACTGGTTTAAAATGAACGGTATGTCGATAACCGGTAGCGAAATGAAAGGACCATGAACATTGTTGCTGCAACTACCAGAAACATATCGCCCATAGGGTTTTGACTTATGATGAGGGTTACATGACAGTAATGCTTTAAGAATTACTTTGTTATTTTCCAGGTCCAGATTCAGTCTGTAGATGTGGAGATTAGGAACAGGAGATTAATTCTGTTAGAAAGTCGGCTGAATATAAACCGACTACTCCAGGCCATGGACTTCTCGTGTGTGAGTCGAAACACGGTAGATGTCAGGGAGGCCAGCATCCAGTACAGACAGATACGCTTTCAGGGATGAATCCTTCCTTCAAGCATATGCAACAACCGGTGCTTTATAGAACAAGTACTGTCAAACTGTGCATACGGCTGGCATCGTAAGACAAAAAAAGATGATGATTGCAACAAACATAAACACAAGTTCATCGCGCCAGTCTCTTATTGTTTAAGTCACTCGAGGGGTTCCGCTGTTGTTCAGGATTATCATAGGTTAAAAGTCACATGAGCATATTATATTTAGCCATAGAGCATATTTTAACACCCTGCAGCTACAAGTTCGGAACAATGGATGCCTGGTTACTGTATTCAAATTTGAATGAACATGTGCATGAATATTAGTTCTAACAAGGAATAAACACATTCATTTTTTTGTAAGGTAATGGTCACTTCATGATTTCTGTTTATGTTTAAACAATGAGAGTCTAGTCTGGGTTTTTAAGGTCAAATGGAACCACTTAAAATGCGTCCATCAAACAGCTTTGTTACGAACTACAGCGTATGATCACTGCCACATCCGCGCACATAACGGCTCCAGTGTACACTGTAACAAACGCTGTTATTATCAGTATGCTCCTTAAAATGAAGTTTCATTATAGATCAATCACTCACCTCATCAGTAATTAATAACTTTGCATATCCATCGCAAAATCAGATCGCGCAACAACAGCAGGTCATCGCTGTTTAGTGATACTTAGAAGTCCAAGATAGAAAATTCTAAAAATGGGTAGATGTAATTAATCTTTGAACTTCTAGGGCAGCATTTCCTGCTCGAAATTACCATCTTCATATTAATTTTTATTTTATGCCAGATTTACGACTTTCTGTTATGATGAGCCGCTATGCAGCTACTACGGTAATAGATGCATTGTTATATAGATGGGCAAAGAAAACTGTGTCTTGAATAGCGAGACTCGACTCAGCGAGCCGAGTGCGTACATCGCAGACGCCTCTGAACCAGTGCTGTACTTCGACACGAAGTGCAATGTGACACCGATGGGATCATATGCTACGCGCCTTTCGGACGAACCCTCCAATGAGGTGTCAAAATGGACCGTATGGAGTCAATGCCACCAAGGTCGCAAGACTCGATACCTAAACTGTGGCAAGAACGACATACGGGCCTGCCCGTTCGAAACTGCGGTCTGCGATAAAAGTGAGTTACTTTATACACGTATATCTTTAAAAGTTTCCTATTTTTAAATATAACAGTCCAATCAGTTCCATCAGTATCAGTAGTCCGTTCTACCGCCTCAACTGCATAACGACCAAAGGCTTTCTATATCACTTTTCATAGCCAGCAGCCGTCGTAGCAGCATCTTCGTTGAACATGCAATCAGGCGGTCGACAGAAATCCCTACCTACAGTACTCTCGCTGCTGCTGTACATATTCGTAATGAATTCGCGTCATCTTTCCTGGAGCACCCCAGAGACACGCCACGGGCTGCAAAGAAGGGCACGCTTGCTGAAGCAGTACGATCGATCATAATAGGGATCAATGCTACCGTAGCTCCAGACCATGCTTCCTTGGCGGCCCTCATGACAACCATGAGCACCTGATGACGATGTGAAATGCAGGGCCCAACCTGTCGGTTCAGTTGATTTTCAGCCAGAGGATGCCCTACTCAAGCAACAGTACAAAAACGCTTGATTCACACAAACATTAAAACAATACAGTACTCGAGTGATGCACAAATGCAAACACTTTGTCCAGCAGATAGATTTTATACTTTTAACTGATCGTGTTGGCATTAGAGCCTATTCGAGGTATATTTTGTTTCTTTGAAAATGTCATGGATTTCGTGTTCTCAGCCATGTGGCAATTAGCGATTATGTTTAATTCTATCGAAGGGAAGATCAAAAATTAGGGCCTTCTCCAGGGCAGTTCATATAATATACTTATACGATCAGCATTCGAACACTCTTTGTGCTAAAATTTATATCTATAATTTAGCCAAACTAATAAAAATCAATCCCCACTACGGGTTTATTACGAAATTGTTAGTTTTCGATATCTTTGGTAGGAATAGGAATCTCCGTTCACTTCTTCAAATTCACCGCCGCTTTATTTCCAGTAACTTAAGGGACTATTCAAGCAGAGAAAGCTTTCATGATGCTTTTGCACTCAGGCACTGCAGGCCTACTTGATTAATCCCTCAAGCTAATAAAAGCAACGGGAAGCTGCGATTACGCCATACGAATCCAGAAAAGTCACAGGGGATCGTTGATGAAATAATATGGTCAATTTGGTTTGCTAATTAAATGATTTGTATCTTGAATTTCAGCAAAATCCGTAAGCATTGGAGATAGGCGTAAAGTACAGAAAAAAAGGAAGCTATGAACAGATGTATTGAAGACCCTTTGCTGCTGTTATGCTCATTGTTGTAAATTGCCTGTGTATGCTGATGCTGTCATGTGCTCCGTTATATGGGTAAGTATTGCATGTTCATATATATAATCGACAATCGACCGCGGTGTCAGTATACCTGTTGTATTAAATATACCAAAAGAGTTCGAAGGATCTGACGTACTCATAAGCATATAACTCATCGAACGATCACTCGCTGGTGGAAGTTAAACAACACTCTACCACATTATGGCAATGGAAAGTTTTCTTCTACCAACGGAAATAGCAAGAACATAAGTGCATAACTTCTGACACTGAATTTCTTGGTCTTGACCTTATGAGTAGTAGAAAGTTGTCATTTTCTTTCCGTTTTTAGATACCACATATCTGGTATCGTGAAGTCTTTACAAGTCGTTATTTTCCGTTTGATAAAAGTTTGCGTTATGAAATGCAAGGTAATAATCTGAGCTCTTGGGGATTATTATAAGCGGCTGCCTTCAATGTTTCTATTGAAGTACGCACTGAGTGTTTCTTTGGTTTGCTCTCTTCGACAGGGATACAATGATAATATATTTAAGAGCCTTCAAGGACTTCGCATGCGTCAAGAATATCAAAATTAAACATTTGATGCTTAGAAGCCAAATTCGATTAATGCGCCTTACGCAGCTTCTTATATTTGGTTAACAGTAGCTACTCATGCTTCATTTTGATTCAACTTAAAGTAAAGACCACAGTTCATAGCAGAAATCGAAATGTATCTGGAATTTTATGAGTTCAAAAATATGCTCACAAAACAACAAACGTCGTAATTGAAAAATTATTATCCCATGCACCTGTTGTTCCATATGGATCAGTTATTTACGAAAGTTCTGCTAAATCGTTCGAACAAGAGATTATGCGAGAGACAGCCAATCAAGCCAGTTGAATTTCTTCCACTTTCGATGCTACTGTTGGTTTAGGAGCTGTAAAGACTACATAAACTTCGTAACAGTGTTCGATGGGGTCAAGGTAGAAGCAATCGTTGGTGTATTTTGAGAGAGAGAATTGAGGAAGAACACGTTGCAATTCTACATTGGTGCACTCAAGCTGCATCATGAGGATCCAGATGTTTAAATATCTGTTAAAATTCGATTTCCAATGGAGTCAGCTGAAGATATATCATATCGTTCAGGTTGTTCACCACATGTTTTGAGTCAATATTTCGCAAGATGAAATCGAAATTAGGAGCTTCAATCGTCGGCAGACGCCTCACTCATCTTCGATTTAGTGCCAACATCGTACGGTTGGGGAAGACGACAGAAAAAGCCAAAGTCATGCTGTGCGAGCTAGAGTTAAAGGGATTTGAAGTTGGACTTCAGAGTAGCAATTCGAAAATGGTGAGGTACGAATTCACACAACTTGGTTTTGTAATTATAAGTGATTAGTGCATACAGTTCATCGACCATATCTGCCTAAAACAACTAATCACCACCGTTTCCAACACCTCCTTCGGTACATACCTCGCCAAACCGCATCATGCTGCATGGTGTGCGCGCAGAAACAGCGCTGACGTCCTTTAAAACAGACAATTGTCAGGAATTTATGGTACTGAGGAAAAGAGTGATGAATTTTGAGGGGAACAGCAGCGGGTTATGGAAAGATGAATGCTAGGAATTTCCGTCAGGGACAAGCTGCGACATGAAATCAGAAGAAGCACAGGAATGCTGCATGGCATACCAGTCTCGAAAGAAAAAAAGCGAATATGGGCACATCACATCATACGACTGACGAATGACAAACGTACATCAACGGGGACAAAGTGATAGCCAATTCGTTGCAAGTGTCAAATCATAAGACCTTGGTTCAGATGGTAGGATGAGCTCAATGAGTGATATGGAAGCGTGTGGCGACAACTCGCACGAGACGAACGAGCGATGGCCTCGAAAATGCTAGGCAAAGGTGATGCCCATTAAGTACAAAGAAGGACCACTCGTCAATTTCAAGGGAATTTCCATTTTCAGTTTCAAAGCCAACCTTCAGTCAATTGAGTACATGAAACTAACGTCGTCGATTTCAAGCATTTTGCTAGTATATCCTCATCATCATCCGTTGTTGCAAACGGACTCTAAGCACACGACATAAGCTTGTGTGCATAATATTTTTTCCACCCGCTCAAAAAACATCAAAAATTCAAATTCAAACGTACCTGTGCGAATTTGCCTGCAGAAAAGACGATCTTCGGCTATATTAACTGACCGATGAGAACTGGTGTGAAAATTCTGGAAACTGTGTTCAAATGAACGGTGCATTTTATCTTTCGACATTCGAGCACCAGGGGAACCAAATAAACTGAGTTGTACAGCGAAACAGTAGACTCAGCCATATTTTTGCCGTCATTTGCATATCGGATCCATCTGAGGGCGAAGACTGTTCGAATGCGATGTCTAACGCCTACGAATTAGCATGTGAAGAGGCCAGAGTTGCGCTGCGGAATGCGAAGGTGAAAATTCCAGCAAAGGAAATAAATATGCAAATGTCGAATGATCACTCAATCCAGTTTCCGAAGAACAGCACGGATACTGGCAATGTAAATTTATTTCCAGCCTCGGTTCAGACGAACGTTTTTCAGCGGTGCGGCAGTCGATGCCATGAGCTGAGGTATCGCGAGTGCTGCCAGAGAAACCCGTTTTCACGACCACTCCTGAAGACGGCTACCACTTCGTTCCTGATGCTCCCTGATTGGCCTGGTGGCCGTTGGGAAGTGTCTGTAATAACGAACAGCAAGGTTAGTCGTTGCTTTCATGGCTTGATTTAAATATAAACACCTATCTTCTCTTCGACCTGAGTTCTTCGACATTTCATTGATTTTATCTTTTTGTCTGTTTGTACTTTTTATCCGTTCATTTGCTGAATATTCGATCTAGCATACGCCAGACAACTTTTTTTTTCACAAATTTCTTTTCAGCTGACGACAATAATAAATTGCTTTAAATAAATTTAAAATTATGCTCGTGATCGTAACTTTATCAAATTTAATGTAGATCAAACAAAACGAAATAATCCAGTGACATGAAGGGAAGAAGTATGAGTCGGCATCCTCTGTTCCATTGGCTGATGGCACCGTAATTTCGAAGCAGCTGTACTATTGGTTGTAACTCTGAAACATAGGTGTTCTGATCAGAGTCACTCGTTTAACTTGATGACGATGAATCATAGGGAAAATTGCAGACCTGAAACCAGTGTAAATCTTACCTTTGACACCAAGGTTGTAGGAAAGGTGTCACATCATCTGCTGCTTTTAGGTACACTGATAACAGACAGACGAGCGATAAACGAAATTGAGAGGGTGTGCTTGGTCCGTCGCAGCGAGCAATAAATCATTGAAATTCTGAAAGGACAGAAAAGTTGGCAATAATCCAAAGCTGCAGATATACATAACTTGCAATTTGAATATCTTCGTCTTTGGCCTAGAGGCTGGTGGCATTTATTACAGCTGAATCCAGCGAGGAAATTGAAAAATTTTTACAAATATTATTTTAATCATGCCAGTGCGTGCGTTTCATACCGCCACACTTTTCGATGTGTACCCTTTTGAACTGTGATTGGCTTTGATTGACCTGATAGGTGAAAGTCAGCGCAATTTTAAGTGGTAAACAAAATCCGTTATTCTTTATTCGGCTTGCCGTTCTTATGGGTAGCCATTAACCTAACCATTATTTCCATGTTTCTGCAACATTCCTAATTCTCGGCTTTCTTCCTCCAGAGTGTTTTTGGATGAATAAACTCGTCGCTGGTGATCCAACGAGTGACCACCGATTTCCCTCAGGCGAGGTACATGATTGACCAATCTCTCTACACCTCGTAGAAGCCAGAAGTA